GGAAAAGTAGACTGCATGCTGTCTGCTTCAATTTGCAACCGGAAGTCCCGTAGACACTAGCGCAAGCTGAGCCTCTAGCCTTTATTGTAATAACTCTATGTATCAACCGACCTAGTTTGCAGCATACAACTGTCGCTAGCAGGCGCCTTCGGAAGCGCTGTGCGGGTGCTTGGGTTCGTAGCGGGACTGTCCTAAGCCTAGCGTTGCACGTCAACTACAGGGTGATTCAAGGAGAGGCCAGGCTCTTTAAATCGACCGCGAAATTCGGTTTTTTAGCCGAAGTCGCGCTACGACTTCGTGCAGCATTGCCCACAGATAATTTATTTTTTTTTTTTTGTAAACTTTGCAAAGAGCGAATTTACCTGAGGAAAAAGTAAAGAAAGAAAAATGCGTAGCTCCTATGGAAACGCAGCGAAGCCACCGGTCTTCAAACAACACGGCGCCGTTTCGCACGGGAGACAAGAGATGGCTCAAGCAGTCGCGACGCCGACTGCCGCCAACGAACGAGCAGACGACGCCGACCGAGAGCCGGCGTCTTTAGCGGACAAGGTACTGCAGTTTCTTGTTGTTACCGCACCTGTTTTTGTTTCAGCGACTGTCGCCGCCTGCGGAACGCGTGCCGGTTTTGAGTCGAAAAGATCGTCTGCTAAAGACGCCGGCTCTCGGTGTCGTATGCTCGTTCGTTGGTGGCGTTCGTTGCGCCATCTCTTGTTTCCCGTGCGAAACGGCGCCGTGTTGTTTCAAGACCGGTGGCGTCGCTGCGTTTCCATAGGAGCTAAATCTTTTTTCTTTCTTTACTTTTTCCTCAGGCAAGTTAGCTCTTTGCATTTTACGAAAAAAAAAAGCACCATCTGTGGGCAACGCTGCACAAAGTCGTAGCGCGATAGGTTAAGAAACCGAATTTTGCGGTCGATTTAAAGAGCCTGGCCTCTCCTTAAATCACCCTGTATGTAGCTTGATCTGGTTTGATTTGCTCCTTTGCGCGTGTTGGTGCTGAATGAAGATGTTGGTTCCCGTAAAAACAGTCCCGCTGCTGTGTGAATTCTGCAACCGTTGTGATAGCAACTTTGGTCTAATACCGAGAACATGCATACACAGGTAAGAAGTAGCGAGCCATTTGGCTGGAGGCAATAGGGCGTCCGGCTCGCATCAAGTTTGTCTATGTTTCCGTCATTTCACTTCGAAAGGCAAGTAGCTTTCAAGTTTTGCAGTGGACCTTGCTTACCAAAGCGAATATTTTTACGTCGCGTTTTATTTGTGCGTTATGGCGCTCACTCACTTTGCTCCCGGATGCCACGTGACACAAATAATAAGAACAGAAATGCTGGAAGAAGTGTATATTTATTTTATTGATCTTTTTACTCCTCTCGGTCCCTAATTACCTCATATCGATGGACGCTGACAGACGTTTGTATTGGGCAGCGGCTTGTGCATGATGGACTGCTCGAACGCCGCATTCATGGTCGCGTCTTCTGAGCGTTGCAGAAGGTTTTATATGAGGCCCGAATAGCCGACGGACGGAGGCGAAAGCGGACGCCGCCGGGCAGCCTTCGTGTCCGCGTCTCACAGGGGTGGCAGACGACGATAGACGGCGGTGAAATATCAGACGATGCCGAGATCTGCCGGTCTTCTGCTTGCGCGACCAGCAGGCGGTGTCAGACTCCCACTGCAGACTCCAGACTAGACGCACCGGATGTCGCGAAAGGGAAACACTAGGCTTGTTAGCGTGTTCAGCCGAGCAGCCAAGCCAATCCAGTAGTAATGGGCGGGGCCTCTGATTTGTGGGCTTATTGCCCGCCTAACAACGTAAATATTGCGCGAATATTTGTACAGCGAAGCTGTATATGATTCGTACGGTCGGTTTTTTTTCGTGTCTGTCGACAGAAAACCATCACAAGCGCCTCATCACCGTTTGCGCGCGTCTTATCACGCGGTTTCGACACTTGTTTCAATAAGAAGACCACAAACAAGCGTCAAAACCACGTTTTAAAAATTTTGCAAAAGCTACACTTATGCGGTTTGTGCAGGTGAGTAATACGGCCAGGGGGACATATAATAGGGGCTAATCGTAATAATCAGTTGGCTAACAAAATAAAGTTTCTTCATTAACTTTAAAAAAATAAAAATAGACATATGGTTTCAATTAGAAACTTGCTCAGCGTCGTCGATAGCCACTAAATCAGTAATTTTCAGAAAGACCTTGAGCGCGTGAGAAGCGCAGCAGTGCACTAACGTTGCCACTCATGGAGCAGGTACAAGGCTAGCGGTTGCGGTAAGGCGCCCGCGCGACTTGCTCCACGAGTGGTAACTTTAGCGTACTACTGCGCTTCTCACGCGCTCAAAGTCTTTCTAATGTTACGGATTTAGGGGTTTTGGACGACGCTCAATAAGTTTCTAATTGGAACCATATGACTATTTGTACTAATTAAAAAGTTAATTAAAATTTTTTTACTTAATTAGCCGACTGATCGTTACGATTACCCCATATACTATGTCCCCCTGGCCGTATAACTCACCTGAATAGTTCGCATAAGTGTAGCTTTCACAGCTTGTTTTAAACGAATCTGTAAAGGTTAAAAAAAAAAAAAAAAAAAACCTGTACGTGTATAAACTTAAAAATGTTTGTGTACAGTGCATTTACTTTTCTTTCGTCAATCATTTGGTGTATGACCCTTTTGCTGTTAACGAACATGAACCGGTGCTTGCGTCCCAAGCGATTTCCGGTCGTACCGTCTTTGCAAGCCTATTGAGCTTGCTTATGTCACCAGTGCTAGAAATGCTACATGGACAACAAAGTTGGAGATTTAACGAGAGCCTCCGACTGTACAATATTACATCTTGAAGGAGGCAAGTTGTTTTACAAGAATACTCAAAACATTTTACCAGATCTGGCACTCCTCCGTTCTTTTGGCGTTCACCTGAAGAATTGGTGGTTAAACGTTTAATCTTCATTTCATGCAGCGGTATTAAGGTGGCCTTTGTTCATTCTTTTTATAAACCGGAAGTTCTCTGGTACGTCAAAGACACCACCTGGGGCCCTAAACTCGTCCAACACAAAGTTGGAGCCGAAAGTTCACGGAGCGAGCCGATCGGACGTCGGCGAAAAAAGCGCCAAGTCATCGTCATCATAGGCCAATCGGTGCGCTTCGTCAACTTCGGCCCCAACTTTGTGTTTGACGAGCTTAGAGACCCTGGTGGCAATCGTTGCAGACGGTACAACAGTTTCGCTGTCCAACCACTTTTACGACGCAAATTTGAGCTTCTTCTTCTTTTATTTCCCGGAAAAGTTATTTTAGAAAGAAAGTGTCCCTTCTATGCCCTTTTAAAAAGTGTTTTTTTTTTTTTTTTTTCACTTTAGTGTTTTTTTAAAACACCATCCATGTTGCCGTTTTCTTTTTTTTTTTTTTTTCTTTTTCACAATTGCTTTTTATTTGCGTGAATCAACCGTGAAGTAAAACATGCGGAGGGCACTGCGCGTGTTTCGTGTTTTGATTAGCGCCACTACTCCGGCGTGGTGTCAACAGTCGAGGCAAGGCTTACGCTGTTTACGCGGGGTTTGTTCCTGGCATGCCGGGGACGAAGTGAAATATGTCGAGGGGCTCTATGAACTCAGGGCAACCGTCAACAAACCCTAGTTTTCTTGATCTCTTTTTTTTACTGTTTTTTGTGTTATGAAAAAACAACAGAAAAGTAACGCCGCGTTACATTTTAAAAGTAACTGTAACAGTAACGAGTTACTTCTTCGTTGCCGTAACTGTAACGGTAACTTCGCTACTTGGTTCTGAAAGTAACTGTAACAATTTTTTTTAAGTAACCAATTCATGACTGGCGTTTACCTACGTTCACGGCATTCTCTTTGGTGTTTGGGTAATTCAGCAAAAGGTGTATAATCTTATTCAAAAACTCGATGCGGCTCATGGTGGCGTAATGCCACTTTATGCATTTTGGGAATCAGTAAGACGCAAAAACCATACGCTCTCCGCTCCTGGAGCACAGGTTCTTAGAATGCAACGCGCGCGGTGACGGATTTATGAAAGTAGTCTATTCTGACGGTATGAAATTCACGTTGCAAAGCACTGCTCGACCGCGCTTTTTCTTTCTTTTTTTCTTTTTTTCCTATTCGGGTTTGAAAACTGCTATACTCAGGGTCAACTTGCTGTGGTACTTCTGATGAAAGAGGTGCGCGTGCACAACTTCCATCGGCGACGAGAGCACGCACCCCCTTTCGTTTCGCCGCATAGAAAGTTTTCCAAGAGTATACTTGGCTTGCACGTGAGGTCGTCCTACCTTGCTGGTGCTCATTTCTTGTTCTTGCCGAGGAAAACAAATTTGATGGTGCAAAAAACGTAGGCTGCTGGGGACGCGCTCTAACAGCAAAGCCACCGCAACGGCCACTGATATGATCGAGCCGGGGTCAGATCCCAACGCGAGTCTCCGCGAGATCCGAGCTTTGAATGCCGCATGGCAATGAATTCGGGGAAGGGGGGCACTTGGCACGCGGCATTCGGCACTTGGCACGCGGCATTCGAATCACGGACGTTACGATGACTCATATTCGCAGACTGTATTTTGTATGGTGTAGGAGCGATCCCGGCTTTTAGTTTCCGAGCCTACTGGTGGCCTGAGCAATCAAACGCGTCGATGTCGTCGGCCTTACACTGTTGACCAAACGCTCACGTCCTGAGTAGTACTACCTTCACAGACGGAGATACAACTCGTATCTGGCTGTCAACTCTGACGAATGTGGTTTAGGAACGCCATAGCGCCAAGCTTTCACCGGATTTCTTACACACACCATCGTCGTTTGTAATGATAATCCTGGGCGTGCCATCAGCGCCACTGAAACGTCTCGTCGGTCTTCTAATTCCTCCCCCAAACTGTGCTGATGAAATCGGGTTGTAAAAGTTCAGCAGGTTGACTGAGGGGCCGAGGGAGGGAGGGGGGGAAAAGCAACATAAAGTTCGGCTGTGTAAAAACGTCTGCCGATCTTGTACTCGCAGCCACGTACGACGGACTCGTGTACAAGGACGGAGAGGCGCCTGCAGCAATCTGGAAAGGCTGTTGCCTCGGCTAGTCTCGTCCTCACGCGCAGCACCTGTTCAAGAAAAGGCACCAGACTCAAGCGTCCAGAACACCAGACCCCGTGGACGCCATTTGCATCTCGAATTAAATGTGAATCCGATGCGACTCCCGCGTTATCATTTATTACTTCAAGATCGCTGCTTGCCGTTACGTAAGTTCCTTCCGCGGATCCCCCCACTTGCCCATAAAAGGTCTGGCAGCTCGAAGCCACCTGAAATTGACTTTCCATACATTAGTTGTTTCGCTACAGTCTTATGTGATCTTATATACGAGATCCATAGCTCTCAAAAGCTGTTAAACCAGTGATCCTCGTTTATTTGTTTCCCCTCATGGCCGAAAGTATATTATAAAAAGTAACAGTGCAGCGATTTCTTTTTGTTACATAAGCTTTTAATTTTAATTTGATTTTTTTTTTACTCTTTGTGCAAAATGAGGTTACGTGCGCATGTCATGTTCGCGCTGAGTTTGTTGCTGAGTGTGCATGGTGCGAGCACATGGTGGCAACTACTCGCATCATTCGCATGTCTCTTATGCTCAAGACAGGATGTAATGGACATCTTTCGTGCATTTCAAATACATCGTTTTATTTCGGGAATTAAAAAACAATGACCATGTTTTAAAGCATCCAAGGGTCTGGGCATATACTATTGATAGGTAAATAAACCCACGAATATTAATATAGTAATAGTTTACGCACCAAGTGAAAACCTCTTTGAGCAGCTTGACGAGATGAATACGTATATAGTTTCTTTCACGCATGCACCTGTATATCTTTCCCGCGAAACCTCGGGCTCCGTTAGACGGTCCCTGCATCTCGATGGTAGGCATTTGAACCCACCGATGTTGAACTTCGCCTCAATATCACCAAATAGGAATTTCTGCGTCCCCAGTAGGCACATTTTAGAAGCTGAACGCTATCTCGCGGAAAGGTATACCAGGGTCACCACGGCCCCTGAAAGTTATATGGTAAGGCACAACGTTCCGCCCTCCGAGCTTTTCAGCTCTCCCCTGTGATTCTCCTGTTACATACATTCAAATGTTTTGGCAGATTTATTGATAGAGTCGTGATGTCAATATAGGGTTTTAGTATTGCGTATAGGAGAAACGGCAAGCACTGTGCGTTTGCATTAATGTTGCAGGCTCCACTCAGCGCATGGGCGTCGTCGCCGTGCGCAAATTCTAGGCGCAGTCCACTAAAACCCACTAGTTATGGGAGTGTACAGGTCTACCCATGATTTGAGGCGTTCTCTCGAATCTATATCTAAAGCAAGAAACCACTATACTGCGGACTTCGGCTCTCGAATACCGCGGTCAATCGCACCCACCATAATGGCCGTACCTTATCAAAACTGTCTGTTCCAGGAGATCTGAAGACTACAGTGCACTGACAGCGTAAGGAACGCTGGGCATTGGCTTAATTCCTGTCTTCACGCCTCTTGCTTCGTGATCCGTTTTTCGGTGTCCATATCGTCTAATTTCGAAATCTCATTGGGGTGATAATAACATGATTGCGACTCGCCACACCTCTGCGTTACTCAGGCTGTCAGATGAAGCAGCTTGCCGACCTTCTCCTTTCACAACTCTGGTAGCACTGTGTTCAAGCTGAGATCGAAACTTGCGTCATAATAGGCGAGAGGAAAAGCTAGCTCGTATCTCAAAAGTAGAATTGCGAAGCTCAACTTTTATAATTTAGAGGTTCATGGCGGTAATTTATTGACGAGTGCCATGGCGAAGCATCTGCGCAACGGCACGTAAAAAAATACGAGTCGTAACTGTTGCCCTCCGCACTTCCGGCTTTGGGCAGTGTCGGTCAGTAGTCGGAGCAGCGACAGGTGGTCAGGGTCGGATCCAGCGCAGCCAGGTTGTGGTGCGGCTCTCCGTTGCAGTCTGCGGCAAGACCAAAAAGTAGTCAAATATTACTGCTAATACCGTGTGGCAAACAAGCAATAAGTAGGACAACGATCCGGCTCCGAACTTCCCTTCGTCCTTCCACTTATTTTCTGCCAGACGCAGACTCCAGCAAAGGCGCCTTTCAGGAACCAAGCTCCTCCTCCCCCCTGTGATATCAGACCTATCAGTGCGCCAATTAGTGCGCAGCACTGCTTTTGATTAACTCCCGACGATGTCGGGCTTTGTCAACACTTTCGTGCCGCAATTACCTGCCGCAGCATAATAAGTTGGAGAGCCTTCACTCACAAAGCACGTCTCTTTCTCAGTGTCCCATGCACCAAGACAAGTAAAACGTTACACTGAGCTTTTCCTTTTTGGTCGTGGACGCTAATTGTGCAAAATAAAAAAAAATGGCACTGAGCGACGACTCCAGTCTTTCGTCATGTCAGAAAAATGATATGTTCGTATGCAGTGTGACGCCATTCCACTGGCAATTCGGGACTGAGCTTCTTTTGCATGTATTATGTTGAAACAGACTGCAGAGTGTAGCATCATCTGCAGTGTATATATTAAACAGTTCAACTGCACCGAGGTGATGCGTGTCATCGAACTATGTGCTTTATTCCTAGTCTCGGTCTGCACCTTTGACAGTGCTTCGCGGCCTATTAAATTTGCCCATTTGCTGCAACGTGGTGCCACAACCTCGAAATACGTTGCGATTTTGTGCTCGCAAAATGCAATATCCGCGATCTCACCTCATGAGACATGTCTCTTGGAGCGTAATTAAGTGTGATAAAAGCCAGTGGCCCTGAAACAATCAAATTGCGTTGACGGGGATGTTTGTGGCGACGCCACATTAAATATCACGCAATCTTTGTTCTCTACCCCGCGCCTATCGTACGTAAACAAGATTTTTTCTCCGACCAGTTGATTAGATACCTTACACGGATTAGATGTTGATAGAGCAAAAATTTCACGATCAGTGTATACACGATTTCCCTAATGAAATATTTGATGTGCATAAGAACTTTTTTGGTTCAGTAAACGCATATGATCAAATAAGATCATAGAAGAGTATAGACGAAACTTATAAGATCAGATAAGGAAAACATATGATATAAGAAGTTATTAGAAGCTGATAAGAAGTTTCTTATAACTTCTTATATATTCTTATATTCTTCTTGTATAATCTTATAAGGTTCTTTTATGTTCTTATACGACCTTTATTTGATCATATTCCTTTATTAAACCCAGAAATTTCTTATACATGTAAGATTTTTCGCTAGGGTGCAAGCGGGGAATCTAGCTTCCGTCATGTCTCTGCTCGCGTGCACACCCGAACAGAAATGCCGTATATAGCCATATCAAGAATTGAGAAAGTAAGGCCATACATAGCCAAATTATACAGCACGTGGTCATATATCGCCTCTTTTGCCCAGTTCTCGACATGGCCATATATGACATTTCCGCACGGGTATGTTGGCATGCATGATGCATGACCTAGACATTGTAGGCACCATTCAGTGAGCGCCATAGCCCAGCGGGTTGTGCACAGCTCATATGCAGACCGATCTTCGACTTATCGTCTGCCAACGACGACGATCTTTAAGATGGGCGGTGCCCGTTGCTGTAGCTTGGTGGAAGCTCGCCATCATCTCGTTTTCAACAAAATCTGGCTCGGCTATGGCCGAGAGTGAATGCCACCCTTTGCAATTGGCACAGTATATATCCCATGCACTTACATTGCTTCTTCTACCGTCCTTGCGTGTGTTCTACTATGGTGGACCATTCCATGCCTTGATTCGAGTTTGCCTTCTTTGTGCCCTAGAGTTATAGTATTTTGACGGCAGCAGTGACATCTCTTGCACGTGAGGTCACCGCACCTTGCTGGTGGTCATTCTTACTTGTTGTTACCAAAGAGAACGAATTCGGTAGTGCAAAATGTGTGCTTCAGAAGACACGCACTCAGCGGCATGATCCCTCACAATAACAGCTGATGTGACGCCACAGTGCAACAATTAACGCTTCCGCAACGTGCAATCCATGCCATGGTGTTGTTTTGGGCGATGAATGGGAGCCTCTTTCTTAGCAAGCACATTGCACGACGCCATCAAATAAGGCTCACAGTGAAACCGACTTCGGAAGGACGTGGCATGACGGGTCATTTGTATGTTTAGCATATTGTTCAAGCGCGCACAGTGTAATTCAGGAAGCAGTGTTTATGTTAGCTTGACTGCGTTGCCCTGTGCCCACGTCGTCGTGTTTTGACGGTGTGGTTGCACGTGTCGTGTCACTTCCTACCGTGTGCGGGAACCACGTCGATGGCGTTGTGGGCTCCGATGGAGCCGAAGAAGCTGAGCATGATGACAACAATGCTGAAGAAGAGGATGGCCACGATGCGGAACAGGACGCGCATGGCTCGGCACAGCTGGCCCCGGTCGAGAAGCGACGCCGGCCGCATGGGCACGCCGCCGTGGGCTCGGCGATGTTCAGTCGTTTGGATTGGATTAGATTGGATGGTTTTGACCATTTCATTTAGAACGGCTAAACCAACGTTAGGATGAACAAAGTCTATGCACTGCTCGAGCTTTTTTTTTTCGACTTGGATTTGACTTGGATGATGCCGATGATACCAATGCTACATAGGCTGTGGCCACCGTGGCGGTGGCTGACCAAAGACCACGTTTCCATTACAATGCAAAAACGCATATTTACAAGACTAAAACAATCAAACTGATATTTCTCATTTAATCTCGGTGATCTAGCTATGCGTAGGAGATCGATGACATTTTTAATAACTAATTATTTTTTCTCATTTGGCCATTAAATATTTCCGCACGAGCAAACGCATTAGTTGTAGTTATTCTTCACTTAGAAACTTTGTAAGTAATTTTTGAAGGACAAGAAGTTTCATTCCGACTGAAAAAGGAAGGACCTAGAAGATCCGAGATGTTTCTCTACTGTTCTTGCCTCCTTAGTTCAGAAAGCGTTTATTGGCCTTTGGCACAAAGAGTCTAATGACTTTTTTTTTTACTTTTTTTAAATATTACTTACAAGTGCTTGTTCCTCCCGTTCTAAGCTTGTCAATGTATACGGTCCTTTGAACGTCTCTTCTGTCCACATGCCACCTGACGGCGGGATAAGTTTCAGACGGACTCTCTTCGTCTGAATTTTATCACTCTCCGTAAAACCGCGCAATCATACATTTGTATGCGTAAACAAATTTTACTTCGTTTAGTAAACTTCTATGGACTGGAAAACCTGAATGGTCTGAACCGTTGTTGTGAAGAAGCTTGACAATCGAAATCGAAGGCTACCATTTGAATTGTGTGTGTAGCCCATCCTCAAAACAGACCCCATCATTTTTTTTTTTACAATTTTAAAGTTGGCTTTGTGCTGTTTACTGTGAAATGAATAAGCTTCCATAAGCCCGAGATACTCACTCGCAGCGCTACAGAAAGTCGATTGGTCCATACAATATAAATGACCGCAGCCGAGGATCCATATATATATATATATATATATATATATATATATATATATATATATATATACATACATATTGTGGAGCGGGTTAGTAGTACGCGCCGATCCCCAAAGTATCTACCATCCATTTGTGCAATGTAGCCATCATGGTAACGGCGGCTTTTTTCCGTAGCGCTGCGGATATTCTGAGCTTACAAACATAGCACTATCACTATAAAAAAAAATCTATGAAGAGCTTAATTCAACCAAAAGGGTGCATGTGCGCGTGTGCGTGTGTGCTCGTAAGTGATTATATGTGTGTATGTTTTCCTCTGTCCTCATTTGTGCGCTTTCTCTTAGGTGCGCTCGTTAACGAGCTTCACGTAATGTTTACTTTGCTTGTCTTCCCAACTTCAAAGCCTATATTTTTCATGACATTTCATTTTTATGACTAACAACGCCACTTCCGTTCGAGACACGCGCTAACGAAAGAAGAAGTGCACGCGCTCTATAATATTTACTACACCGTGTGCGAAAGGTTCTGGATTTTAATGTACCCGGCATTCCGAACCTTGACTCTCAGGGTGCAACCTCGACGACATCTCACGGTCATCCTTTCTTCGTCTCTGGTCTACGGCGCCATCATGATTGGCATCCAGTTCTTCGCCAATGACCAGTTTCCGTGGTGCGATCACCCCGCGCGTTGCTTCGACTACGCCACCGAGTTGCGAGGCAGCATCAACAAAAAGGTGGACCCGTGCTATAACTTCTACGACCATGTCTGCGGAAACTGGGCCTCACTTCACCCTGGAAAAAAAGATCAACTTAAGCTACTTGGCTTGCGTACGCGACTCTGGTTACTGCAGGCCCTTGAGCAAAGACCGTTGTCTTCGTCAAGCTCCGCGGTTGACAAGGTCATAGTGGGCTACCAGAGATGCATGTCTGTGGTTGCAACAACAGAGGACCAAGCAGAGCCTATCCGGAAAGTTTTTAGAGAATTTTACTTTGACTGGCCATCGCTCTCGCTGCCCACTCAGTTCAACCTGTTAGACTTTCTGGTTGGCCTCGCGCTTGACTTTGGAATTTATGTCGTGTTTCGAATGGGCTTTGCACCACACGCTGAGACCAACAAAGGGTACTCGCTTTACCTTTTGCCCGTTGATAAAACTAGTAGTGTGACTTCGGCGGAAAAAGAGAGCATGGCGAGCTGCATCCGATCGTTCAACCCGACAGCCCACGTGGACGCCTCCAGAGTCTTCGAGATGGTTCAAGCTGCATCTATCGAATTCCGTGCTATGGCACTTCTTGCACCAGAATACCATATTGATGATTACCCGAGATATCTCAGGCTGAGGGACTTTGCAGTTTACGAGAGAAACTCTTCCAACACGATTGATTTGATGGCATCAATCAACAATCGCATGCCGGCTTCGAGACAACTGGGCTCGGAGGCACCTATCCTGGTGCAAAGCTTTAGCCCTCTCACTCTCGTTGAATTGATTATAAAAAAATACAAGAACCGAATTGAAGATATCATGCTGTTTTTCGGATGGAAGGTGGTCCGAGTCATGGCACACACATTTTCATTCACCTGTAGCGCGTCGACGATCGTCGATGCAATGCTACATAAGTCCACAGAGTGTATGAACACCATGGCCTCCCTGGCGCCATACGCCATGTCGTACCTGCTTTACAAAGATCTGGTTCATCCGGGCGTTGCATCGTACACGGAGGTGCTTGCGAACAACATCCGCGAAACAATGATGCGTTCCTTTCAGTCCCTCTCTTGGATGGACAAACTGACCTTAGAGGCTGCCTTGGACCGGATGACGTCCATCATTGGCATATACGGCACGCCGCCCCGGCTAGCAGACAAGGTGGTGTTGGATTCATACTACAAGTACTTGCCCTTATTTGACAAAATCTTCAGCGGAGATTTGTTAGAGGCTCTTCGAATTAAGTCCAGCAGGTTAAAGGAATACCTTGGCACCGATCCCCAGCATGTCGTTCGCCGAGAAGATGTGGAGATGCCATTGCTTGACGCGAATGCCTTTTACCTGCCGCACCTACATATGGTCTTCATCGAGACGCCACTTCTTCAGCTTCCGTTCGTCGACCTGGCGTTACCGGCTGCAGTCAACTACGGCACGATGGGTCGAGTCATCGGCCACGAGCTATCGCACGCGTTCGGCCCATCGGCGTCATGGCTAAGTCGACGCAGTGATGTGCTTCCCTTGTACAGCAACCAGTCCAAACAAGCGTTCGATAACCGTTTGTCTTGCCTAGTTGAGCAAGTGATCCAGAATAGCGGAAGTCGTCCTCTAGGCCTCAATTCAATCGAAGAGTCTTTTGCCGACAGCGCGGGTCTGGAGAAGGCCTACTTAGCTTACCAGAGGCTTCCCGAGGAACCTTCGCAGTTCGGGTACACGCAAGAACAGCTTTTCTTTGTCAGTGGGTGCTTTGGGTTCTGCTCTATGGACGGTTTAGCGGTGGCATGGAATCAGCTCCACCTGCCGCCAAAGCTGCGCTGTAATACGCCGGTGATGAACCTTCGGCAGTTTGGAAGGGCTTTCGGGTGCACACAAGGTGCGCCCATGAATCCCTTCAAAAGGTGCAACTTTCAATGATTGTTTTAGTGTTTTAGAGGCGTTGTTACTGCATTCGGGAACAATTCACTATGACAGTGAAGGAGAATAGTAGGGCCACAGACGCTGTGGTGTTCGCGTTGAGCATGTCTTTTGCAACTGAAACATAGATTTTCAAGCAGATATCGGTACTTTCTGCTGCATTGTTACAGAAATATATATTATCTGTAGCTTTAGTTTCATGTATGCTGCAATATAAATGTATTATTTGACACTACAAAGCTGTGGGTCATTTTCTATAATGAAGCTCAAAAAGCAGCATGGTGGTAGAATGCAAAGGTAACTTCACTTCTCACCATTTCTTTTTTTTTTTTTCTCGTAAAATGTAAAGTACATGGTATGTGTAGGTGATAACTGTTGGAAGAACGGCTGTTTTGTTTGTTTAGCTGCTGGAAGAACGGCTGTGCACAAATTAAAAACCTTTATCCAGGTTAAAAACCGCGCCTTATCCTTCGGGACTAGGTGCACATCGCCAAAGGCGAAGAGATTAGGATTCTATGCCGCAATATATTATGACTATTTTGTAGTCTTTCTGCGTAGTATGTTGCTGGATATCTCTCATGTGCTTGCTGTGTATGTCGATGAAGTGAGAAGTCATAAAGCAGTAAGTTGAGAATAAGTTTTTTTCATATTAGGGGTTGTTGAAGTTTGTGCTCATATTGTATTTTAATGCTGCATCTACTCCCAATCGAGGTATTTTTCTTCATAGACTGCCTTCCACAAAAGACAATTTGCTATATGTTCGCCTAGGGTGCCTTCATGTGCGCTTCGCTTAGGGTGGTGGCATCTCGCCATTTTATTTCACACGTTTATTTTTATTTTTTGTTCAGAAGCGCGTGAAAGAGTGTGACACTGCACGCGTTTGTGGCGCTGACTGTGCTATGGCGACATTTTGTTTTCGTCGATTTCTTTGTATTTTCCCCGTGAGCGCGTGCTGTCGGCATCGGGTACTACAAAAGGTGGCATCACCCTAAACAGAAGGACATTGAGGCACCCTATGTTCGCCAGTTGCAGTGGCACCTTGGCCGTTCCCAAGCGCGCTCGGCCAAGGGACCTTACAACCCAAGGGATAGCGTTGTAGAACGGCCTGTCAGTACTGGAAAGGGGGGGGGGACGGTCTATATTAATCAAATGATCTCCATCAAAAATACGCGAATAATGAAAGAAGGGGATAGCACACACTCTAGAGGCATTAGTGCAAAGGAAAACCTACAATTAAGGCTGTGGTCCCACGGCAGCCATCTTGAACAAGGCGTTAGTTCAACCAATAGATGGCGACTCCCACCCGTGGGGTGGCAGAAACATTGGTTCACAGTGGGATGGCTTGAGCACCATCACGTTCCCCCCGTGGCCTCGCTCGCGCCGCTGCCAGCTGTGCTCAGCCAAGCTCAGCTAGCCCAAATGGGGGGATCGGTGGCCGAGTGGTCTAGCGCACACCAGCTCGGAGCACGTGGAGCGAAAGCTCGCGCTGCAGAACCCAGGGATCCTGGGTTCGAGCCCCACCCCTGCCCGTTTCGATCTGGATGAGCATCGTACCGGCGTGCGGTCGTGTATCACTACTGCGTGATGCACGTTAAAGACCCCAGGCTAGCGGCTGTACCGCACTGGCTAAATTTCTCATCTACAGCTGGGAGAATCGTCGCCCCTGTGAGGCAGACCAAGTTCTAGGCTGTATAAACACACACACAACCCAATTTTTTTTTCAGCTAGCCCAAGTAGCGTGGCCCATCAAACGGATGTATGCGAGGATGTCAGGCTGGGTATAAATTGTTCTCTGATATAGGGACATGCGGTTCGGCGGTTGTAACGGGCTTTCGCGGTAAATCTTACCAAGAAGGAATCAAATGTTGATTGACGTGTCAATATTCTATCAATGACAATTTACTCTGCAGGAATGCACGCTCAGTAGACTCAATCTTCCAAGACACCAGTGGAAGCGGACGTCAAGTAAACTGCTTCGCGATTTACGGTACTTACCTCACCATTTTAATGACGACTAAAATAAGGTCACAAAATATTATGTTTCACGGGGTCCGGAAGATGTTGTAAAGGTTGTTAAATTATAGTTCCCAGAAAACAAACGCCGTTGCAATATTTTTGGAAGCACCGACACACTTGTAATTACAGCTTAGGAGGAATATGACGAAAACCATCAGAAGAAATAGGAAGACGTTTATTTGCAATGATGACGCTATGAATGAACGGCCTTTAGCGACGGCAAGTTATGAGCGTTCGGGAATTTATAAGTTCACGTGATTGCTAACTATGGACATGCGTTTTTGTCGGGAGAGGGTGTTGCGGTGATGACCTGATATCGGACGACTCGTGGCAGACGAACAAGCAAGTTTCTTCTCAGCGAATGATAAGTGTCCAGTGTCAAGCACAACACGTGGCTACCGACGTTGTCGACGTTTCGAACACTTACCGCTTTCGACAAAAGTCCTGGCACCTGGGCTAACTTTCTGGAAAGACTCGAAGTCTTCCTTGAGTCCAACGCCATCATGAACAGTAACTGAATACGATCCACTATTTGAATCGGTCTAAACGTATCCGCATCTGCGGAGTCGTGGGCGGTGCGTGCTCTAAGCGGCTGGAAGTTTACACGATGCCTGCCGCGACGTCCAAACACGTCATTGACGTTCTACGGTCTCTTTTACCTACTTTTTCCCTACCAAAAACACTTTTCTCTGGAAACGCGCCAAATCTTGCTTGCAATAAAATAAACAAGTTTTTGAAGAAAAAAAAAAAAGCCGGCATCAGGCATCACATTAATGCACCATGCCATCCTGCAACTAACGGGCATGCAGAACAGATGGTGTGCAAAAAAAAAAAAAAAAGAAGCCCTTTTGAAGCTTACGGAAGAAGCAGTTCAGTGAAGAATCGCCAGGTTGTTGTTCCAGCAGCACGCGACGGTCTCATCTTACACGGTAAAAACACCAGCCGAAGCAATATTCGGCAGGCGAAGAGCCACACCCCTCGATCTCTTGATACTATGGCTTACGAACCAGATCGAGAGATTCCCAGATCGGGGGTAATTGCAGTTTATTCGGTCGGACAACTCGTCTACGTAAGGAATTTCAACGGAAGTCGGGCCTTCCATGTAGAACTTGAGTAGAAAAGGCTCTATGTTGGTTGACCAGAAGGTGTCATCTCTCTGAATGCGTTGGATATCAATGCCCTTGAGTGTAAATATAACTAAATCACAAAACTTTCTTTGTGTATTGTGTAACTTGTATTTGATAGTAGAAGCTATGGTGGTGATTTCGACCTTTCACACCAGGCTCTTTTTTCTTATTTTTCGCCTCATACTCCTTTTGCGGTTTAAGTATGCTTCAAGAATCTTTTGGAACGGAGACACTTTACGTCAACGAGGCCATTTGTTCCAAGTAGTCAATCAGGGAATGCTGCTAGGAATCCGTCCCTCCTATTAACGAATAAGCCGCACTTCTACACAGTGCAGTTTTCCTGTTCCACATACAGTTGTAAAGCAGCATCCTCATTTATTCTACCATATTCTGCTGCATGTGAAGAAAGTCTTTGGGTACACGATACTTGAAACAACTCTGGCACTGTACGTTGTGGTTTGACGCCCACTAATGTCGTCGTCCTTATGGAGCCTCATCATTTAATGATTACCTCGTCACCTCATATTGCTCTTCATCAACAGTAAGTACAATAGGCTACCGCCATATTACAATCCAAGAATTGAAAAATTGAGTCGTTCAGTCCTTCAACAAGTTTATTATTTATATAATGTTATTACGTTACATTACCTCGAGACGATCGACGTCCATCGTCGATCTTCAAATACTGATACCTGTATATAAATTAGACGCACAAAGGGGGGGGGGGGGGGGGGGGGGGTGGCCGAGTGCATGGTCTAGCGCACAGCAGCTCGGAGCATTTGGAGCGAAAGCTCGCGCTGCAGAAGCCACCCCGCCCCTGCCCGTTTCGACCTGGAAGAGCATCGTACCGGCGTGCGGTCGTGTATCACTACTGCGTGGTGCACGTTAACCGCACTGGCTAAATTGCTCATATACAACTGAGAGTCTGACGCCCACTAAGGCGGACTAACTTCCGGCTGTATAAACATAAACACAACAATTTGCAATGAGACGTATAATTTTGCGTCTAATTGTATTGGCGTACTGTATTGGACAAATTCAGGTTTAATTGAGAGTGTTCAACGCAGGTTTGTTCGTGTTGTGTTTGATCGTTATTTTTGTAGTAACTAGCGATAGATGGCGCCACGTCTCCCAGCGGTGCCGCGTTTTGAGCACGAGCGCGGAGCGCGCGGAAAAAGATAATTCGTTCGAATCTCCATGCTGGCTGATGCGTAATGCTTCCTACATGGTGGCAGCGGTGGGCTCAAATTTGCGTCCTTCTTTGCGACAACTACCATGAAACTGGCCCATTCTGTCGGTTCTTTTACTTTTGTCAGAACTCCCTGGTTCTCCATTCTTTGAAGTTCGCACTTGACCTTTTCTTGCAGTGCCACAGGCACCTTCCTGGCTGGGCGAACGACGCCTTGTGAACCTGGCTTCACCTTCATGTTGTACACAAATCCCTTGACCTTTCCCAGTCCGCTGAAAACGTCTGCGTATGGGTATGGACGGTAGATCAACAAAGAAGTTTCGAAGACCTGCGAGACGCTTTGACGAAGGCACCAGTGCTGGCTTACTACACTGCAGAAAAGCCGATTACGCTGTCAGTCGACGCAAGCCAATACGGAGTAGGGGCCGTTATCACCCAAGACGGAAGACCAATAGCGTACTCATCGAGATCTTTGACAGCCGCACAAATGAAATATGCGCAGATCGAGAAAGGGATGCTGGCCATTGTTCATGGTTGCAGCAAGTTCCACCATTACATATTCGGCCAACCAAACGTAACAGTAGAATCCGACCACAGGCCGTTACAGGCTATTTTCATGAAACCGTTGCATCAGTGCCCGATGAGACTGCAGCGGATGAAGATGGCTCTCCAAAGATACTCATTGGAAGTAAAATTCATACCTGGAAAAGACTTGCAGTTAGCGGACGCACTGTCACGGTTTCCCACGAAGGAAACAATGCAAGAAGAAGAAGAGAAATTTCAAGTCAACTCACTGGAGCACATATCTGTCAAACAAGATCGGCTAAATGAAATAAGAGACGCAACTGCAGCCGATGTCCAGATGCGTCTACTGCGCGAGTATGCACAGACGTCATGACCCGAGCAGAAAGAGCAAGTTCCTCAAATCGGAAGGCGATTCTGGTCCTACAGAGAGGAGATCCACGAGGAAGACGGCCTTGTGCTGCGGTCAAACAAGATAATAATTCCAACGGCCATCAAATCCAAGATTCTCAGCTTGCTCCACACGGCACACGCGGGCAAAGACAAAATGAAGAGAAGAGCCCGAGAAATTTTTTTCTGGCCCGGAATCAACGCTGACATTGACCGCGAACATGACAAATGCAGCAAATGCGAGAAGTACAAATCAAGAAACGCCAAGATGCCACTCCTCAGCCACGCACTGCCAACGCTTCCTTGGCAGTTGGTCGGGACCGATTTCTTCACTCATGAAGGAAAAGACTACATAATCCTGGTGGATTTTTACTCATTTTATTTTGAGGTAGAAGAAATGAAAAGTACCACAGCTTCCAAAGTCAAAGAGTTCTGCCTTAAGGTATTCGCAACACATGGACTGCCGTTGAAACTTATAAGCGACAATGGCCCACCATTTGGCAGCCAGGAGTTCAAGCAGTTCTTGGAAAACCTGAAGATAGAACAAGCTACATCAAGCCCTTACCACGCTCGATCAAATGGCATGGCTGAACGAGCCGTGAGACAGGCCAATTGCAACTCTTGCGAAAGAGTGCCAACACTGAAGAGTTTTACCGCTCCCTCCTTGAGTGGCGCAACACTCCACGAGACGATGTCCTCCAATCGCCAGTACAGAGACTGATGAGCCGACACACAAGAACACTGTTACCTGCGTGATCGGAACATTACCTGCCGGCTGTTGTGCCACCCAAGGCTGTCACACGTCGTCTCACAGAAATAAGGCGGCAACAAAAGGCGAACTACGATAGAAGCTCAAGAACACTGCCAGACATTGACACGGGTTCTACAGTCACCGTCGACAACACCCTGCGGCGCACATAGTCACCTGCCATAGTCGTGGGACATCCAGTGCCGAGGTCCTACGACATTTTAACCCCAGGGGGTCGGGTCCACCGAAGAACCCGTGAACACTAACGAACGGCGACGGATTCTCGACGAGAGCTGACCTCCACGGGGAAAGACACAGCCTGCACGGAACAGAGTCCCAGTGACTTTAACCAGAGTCAGCCTCACCCGGGACCGCGGCCGCGAAGGGGAACAAGGAAAAGAAGGCCACCACAACGATACCCCAACCATGTTGATGGTGACGCTCGGCTCTACTGGCTCTACGCTGACCACGCTGACTTTTCCAGAGAAAAGAGATGTAATAACTAGCGATAGATGGCGCCACGTCTCCCAGCGGTGCCGCGTTTTGAGCACGAGCGCGGAGCGCGCGGAAAGAGATCATTCGTTCGAATCTCCATGCTGGCTGATGCGTAATGCTTCCTACAATTTTCAACCGAATTATTTCTATAGTTATGAGAGGATTTGTGAACTCGTGAAGTTAGACTCGTTGCACAACAGGAGAACAATTCGTGAACTGACATATTTGTATAAGATTGTAAATGGTGTAATTGATTCCCCAGAGCTACTCAGTCACATCTATTTGCACGTTCCTTGTCAGTCGTGTAGACTTTATACTTTGTTTTATCCTATCGATTTTTACCATGCTGCACCCATTACACGCCTACAACTGACTTATAATTATTTAGAACAGATTTGTGCAAATGCTAGCCTTGATATATTTGATGAAAAGAGTAAATTTCGACAGTGTGTTGAGGCTATTGTTTTTTCTTAACATTTCGCTTTTATCCTGTTTAGCGTTGCATTTCTGAAAGTGCACCACTAAGGAGGCGTCAAGCTGTTGGTGGGTCACTGAAAACAAAGAGCACAGCGTGCCGCCTCTTTTCTTTGGATCCCTTTTTTTAAACCAGCGCAAGCTCGCGCGTTCTCACTTTTGAGACGGTTAGAACGGTCGCACATAAAACCCGTGTTTCTCCTACCCGGCCGCTTCCTCCTCTCATTGTGTGTAGTGTGTTATAACTAAATAAGCTATAATAATGGTGTATTATTCATATTTACTTTCAGTTTCAGTCAGGGAAGAGGAGTTTCGCGGGAACTAGAGCAAATAAATTAGCTGCGCTTAGAGTATCGGCACTCTCTTCCCCGACAGTGTTGGGAACGCCTCCATTCTGGTGCTTGTGCAGAGCAGGCGCAACTGCCGATCGTCATGATTCGAAAGTGCGACATCCTCAGCATTAGATTCGGTGTTAGGAAGCTCATGTAATGTTGCTTTGCTTTGTCGCACACTGTTTAAAGTGGAGGACGGAAAAGCGTTTCTTGTGATTTCAGATCATAGCCTCCTTTATACTGTAAAGTATAAAGGATGTTATGTTTCAGATAAAGCTTCAAATAACTGGCAACCATGATTTTAAGCCACAATATGGCCATGTGTCGCTACTCTGACAAGTAGCTTATTTAATGACACTATTCATGCTCTTGTTCAAGAGGCTTGTAATACCTGGAGGGGCCATGACGTAAGCCCCATAAATTCCACAAGCCACTACCTTTTGACACCTGCCTCTTCCTCATTGTTCCCGCTTGCGCCAGTACATTAGCTACGGTTCAGAGTAACGACACTTGGCCATATTGTGGCTTAAAATCATGGTTGCCACTAACCTGAAGCTTTATCTAAAATCACAGGAAACGCTTTTTCGCCCCCCACAAATGTTTAAACAACCCGCGACAAAGCATTGCAATTTTGCATCAGCTTCCTAGCACCGCATCTAATGCTGAGGAAATCGTACTTTTGGATCATGACGATCGGCAGTTGCATTTGCTCTGAACAAGACCCAAAATGGCGGCGCCCAAAACAATTTTGGGGAACGGAGTGCCGATACTTTAAAGCTCATTTAGTGACTCTAGGCATGAAGTGAACTCGGGTTTATCATTTTCCTCTTCGTCTTTATTGTTTATTGATTTCAGTCATATCGAATAATGAACACATTATATCACGCTACACGTGTGTAATTATTTGTCTTAGATTTATTAACCTGACCCAGTACTTAAACCATTCATTTATCGATAGTAAATCTTCCAATATATTTTTCTAAATGTGAAGGTAAAAAGACACGGAGATCGATTGATGATGATACAGACGCCAACGGCGCCCTCGGAAATTTTTTGAACACTAGAAATCAGCAGTTTGTGTGCCATCCGCTAGGTAGCGCAACAAAACACCCAAACAGTGTTTAATTGTTTTTAAAATGAGCTCAGCTCTACACCTATTAAGAAACCAAAGCAAGATCATTGTGAAAATTTAATACATCGCAATGTATATCTATTCCAAACAATAAATGTTATTAGATGCCAATAAATCTGTTTGATGTCCAAAAAAGATATGCGTCAAAAACAGGTACGTTTGAAGGGCTCCTGGAGCGTTATGACTTTGAAAATGAAAAAAAGCCATCGTCCACCTCTTGGGCAACCATTGGGCTTGGGCAACCACATTCAGTGGGACCGTGGCCTTAAGGCCACGGTCCCACTGAATGTGGCAGTTTAGGTACTTTTTGGCAGGTCATTACTCATCTCCTTTTAAATACTGTTTTGTGTAATTGATGTAATTCGAAAGGCAATGCAATCTTCTTTCACTTGATATTATGTATGTGTTGGTTTTTACTGTACTTGCGCATTTGTAGCGTTGCGAATATGGTGGCGTTGACCCTCACTTGCTCCGCTAGTTCATGTTTTATGAACGATCCATTAAAGATAACACGGTTCCAATATAGCAGTTTTGTTAAGATGATGTCGGAACAGAATGTAACGATACACTTTTTTGGTATTTGCACTACTTTGTTTTTTTCATCCCTCCAAATATTGCCCTAAAATTGACATTTTACAGCACAAATATGCGTTTAATGACTAGCGCTAGGGTAATGAAATTAGCTACAGATCTAGTGCTTATAATTGGTAATATGCACACAAAAAAATTTGATGTTGTGTAAAATTTTGTTGTTTAGATATTTTATATCGAACGTAGCACTTTTTTGTGCTTCAAGTCATGGTACTTGAAATGCTGCTGAGGAAATAATTAAACTATGATAAAATATTTTATAATACTTAGAGCTACAATGGTTGCCCAAGAGGTGGACGATGGATTTTTTTCATTTTCAAAGTCATAACGCTCCAGGAGCACTTCAAACTTACCTGTTTTTGACGCATATCTTTATTGGACATCAAACAGATTTATTGGCATCTAATAACATTTATTGGTTGGAATAGATATACACTGTGATGTATTACATTTTCGCAATTATCTTGCTTTGGTTTCTTAATAGGTGTAGAGCTTAGCTAATTTTAAAAACAATTAAAAACTGTTTGGATGTTTTGCTGCGCTACCTGGCGGATGGCAGACAAACTGCTGATTTCTAATGTTCAAAAAATTTCCGAGGGCGGCGTTGGCGTCTGTATCATCATCAATCTCCGTGTCTTTTTACCTTCACATTTAAAAAAATGTATTGAAAGATTTACTATCGATAAATGAGTGGTTTAAGTACTGGGTCAGGTTAATAAATCTAAGACAAATAATTACAGAAGCGTAGTGTGATATAATGTGTTCATTATTCGATATGGTTGAAATCAATAAACAATAAAGACGAAGAGGAAAAGAATACACCCGAGTTCACTTCATGCCTAGAGTCAATAAATGAGCTTTAAAGTATCGTCACTCCGTTGCCCAAAATTGTTTTGAGCGCCGCCATTTTGGGTCTTGCTCAGAGCAAACGCAACTGCCGATCGTCATGATCCAAAAGTACGACTTCCTCAGCATTAGATGCGGTGCTAGGAAGCTGATGCACTATTGCAATGCTCTGTCGCGGGTTGTTTAAACATTTGTGGGGGACGGAAAAGCGTTCCCTGGCAACCATGATTTTAAGCTACAATATGGCCAAGTGTCGTTACTCTGAACCGTAGCTAATTTACAGGCACAAGCGGGAACAATGAGGAAGAGGCAGGTGTCAAAAGGTAGTGGTTTGTGGAATCCACGGGGCTTACCTCATGGCCCCTACAGGTATTACAAGCCTCTTGAACAAGAGCAAGAATAGTCATTAAATAAGCTACGCTCCAGAGTAGTGTCATTTGGCAATATTGTGGCTTAAAAACATGGTTGCCAGTTATTTGAAGCTTTATCTGAAATCACAAGAAACGCTTTTCCGTCCTCCACTTTAAACGGTTTGCGACAAAGCAAAGCGACATTACATGAGCTTCCTAACAAAAATCTAAGGCTGAGGATGCCGCACTTTTGAATCATGACGATCGGCAGTTGCGCCTGCTCTGCACAAGCACCCATATGGCGGCGTTCACAACACTGTCGGGGAAGAGAGTGCCGATACTCTAAGCGCAGCACATTTATTGGCTCTAGTTCCCGCGAAACTCCTTTTCCCTGACTGAAACTGAAAGTAAATATGAATAATACACCATTATTATAGCTTATTTAGTTATAACCAACTACACATAATGAGAGGAGGAAGCGGCCGGGTAGGAGAAACGCGGGTTTTATGTGCGACCGTTCTAACCGTTTCAAAAGAGAGAACGCGCGAGCTTGCGCTGGTTTAAAAAAAAAAAGGCATCCAAAGAAAAGAGGCGGCACGCTGTGTTCTTTGTTATTATGCGTCTAATTGCAAATTGCTGTGTGTATGTTTATACAGCCGGAACTTAGTCTGCCTTAGTGGGCGTCTGGTGTCTCAGCTGTAGATGAGCAGCTTAACCAGTGCGGTACAACCGCAAACCTGGGGTCCTTAACGT